TATATATAAATTAAAATTATTAAGTTTTTAATGGGAAAGACTAAAATCGCATAATTTTGATATTTGAAGGACTAAAATTATTCAATTAAAAATCGAGGGACTAAAATCACACAATTACAATCTTTTAAGGACTAAAATTACTCAATTAATATCTTTAGGACCAAAATTGCACAATTGTTATACTTAAGGGATCAAAAGTGCAATTAAGCCTAATATTTTTATTTTTAAAGTTAAATAAAAGATATATATTTATAATCATGGTAGTTGAATCGAGATACAAATAATGTATCGGAAAGCTTATTTTTTGAATCGTGAATCGTATCGTGAATCGTAAGATTCATGATCAATAAAAACATAGTGTATATATATGCATACAAGACATATAAAAGCACTCTAAGCACAGTTTAATATAAAGAAACAGACAAAATGAAGTCATACATAAATATATAGTAATATATAAGCTTCAAAATACAAACAAAGATACAATTATACAAATAACAGTCTCAAAGCCAAAAGAAATGACTACACAGTTCAACAACAAAGCCTCCAAAAAAATCATTGTTGTTGCTAAATATATGTATATACCAGGGACTGTTTGCTACTCTAATCAGCAATATAGCCACCATCCCCAGTAAGAACATTTGGTGCCCACCGTGGGGCTGATCAAGAAATCTCTTATCGGCCATGCTTATGGTTTTCATCCGAAGCCATAGTAGACGAGCAACAGAGAACAAGATAACGCAACAAGAATTTTTGTTTGATTTTTACTTATCAAATACCAAAACTCATAGACTACCATCAAGTGATTAAATTTATTGAATATTAACATTATAAATATAACTAAATAAATTTATTAAAATTCATTACAATAATAAAGATCAATAGTGGCGGAAACTGATTATGTTGTTCTCTAATGTCCATCTCTGTTTTAAGTTTGGCCGACCCTTGAAAGTTCGCTTGAGTTTTGGATTTGGCCACAAAGTTGGACCAATGTAAGTAGGCTAATAATCTTCATGTCGGAGCTCTCCAAATTGTCCTTCGTATACCTTTGTGGAACTTGCCGCAATCATACCACATTTCATTTAGCCTTACTGTAAAACTCCTGGCGGGTCAAACTTCTCTCGAATGTTGCGTTTCTTTCAACTTTGTGGCCAAATTCAGAACTATAGAACTTTCAAGGATCGACCAAAGTCTAGCAGGATTAGAACATTAGAGAACAACATAATCGTGTAAAAATTTGTTCCTATTGTCACACCCCTGGTCACATTAGGAAGACATATCTAAATATTGGTCTTCATGTCAGAGATCTCCAAATTGTCCTTCATATACCTTTGTGGAACTTGCTGCAATCATACTACATTTCATTTAGCCTTACTGTAAATCTCCCAGCGGGTCAAACTTCTCTCGAATGTTGCGTTTCTTTCAACTTTGTGGCTAAATCCAGAACTCAAGAGAACTTTCAAGGGTCAGCCAAAGTCTAGCAGGATTATAACATTAGAGAATAACATAATCGTGTAAAAAATTGTTCCTATTGTCACACTCCTGGTCACACTAGGAAGACATATCCAAATATTGATCATGAATTCAGTTTCTGCCACCATTGATCTTTATTGATGGATTGAATTTTAATAAGTTTATTTAGATATATTTATAATGTTAATATTTAATAAATTTAATTATTTGATGTTAGTTTCTGAGTTTTGGTATTTGAAAAGTGAAAATCAAACAAAAAAATTTTATTTATAGGCTAGAACGGCCCGTTCTGGATGCAGAACGACCCGTTCTGGTTCTATTTTTTATGTGCTAATTTTGATTTTGGAACGACCCATTCTGATCCGTTTTCCATGTGTTATTTTTTAATCCAGAATGGCCCGTTCTGATTTCAGAACGGCCCGTTCCGAACGTGAATAGTAAATGGTGCTAGTTGGGGAAATAAATTTGCAAAGTTGCTATTTGGGTAATTTTTTTTTAAAATAGTATTATTTGAGTAAAAAAACTCGTTCATTTTAATCATACATAAAATACTAATTAATTTAAATCTTTTAATAATAAAGCCATTAAGTTAAATAAAATAAGAAATTGTACTATCCACGTCGGACACCGAGCTCAAGCTCGGTGTCCCAGCGCCGCACCATCTCGGAGAGGCGCTACATGACATCGGTTAAAACAAGGGCCCAATGCCTATTGGGCCACGACCAATCTCAGGCCCAAATCTATCTTACCCTCGCCCAAGAGGAAACCCTAATCACATTTCAAGGTACGTGCATTATATATAAAGGACACTCATACGATCATGGACTAACTTTAGCATCGAAATCTCTTTTGCAGGTACCACCCCCACATCGGAGCAGTCGACGTACCCAGCAAGGAAGGCTCACCAATCTTGCCTAGTAGATCATCCCTCACGACCGATCTCCAGTAAGAACATTTGGTGCCCACCGTGGGGCTGATCAAGAAATCTCTTATCGGCCATGCTTATGGTTTTCATCCGAAGCCATAGTAGACGAGCAACAGAGAACAAGATAACGCAACAAGAATGGGAGGAGAAGCGACATTGAGACGCCTGATCGAGTAAGTCGATCAAATGCGACAACAACACATCGCTGACCTGGAGAACATGTGCGCTCGACACGAGGCCGATTTAGCGACGCTACGAGCTGAGAACGAGCGCATCCGCGCCCAGCTTCCTCAGCGCCCCTCAGATTAGCCCCCTTAACCAAGCAACCAAAACGAGGAAGAAGGGCACTCGGTTTCCCCGCCACCGACTGTGCCCAGGGCGACGACCCATAGGTCTACTGCACATCGGTCACACGTACCGACATATTGATTAGACCATGAAGTCAGTAACGCACCGGCCCAGGCTCCAGGACACAGGGCGAGCATCCGCCGTCACCCCTTTGTCGACGGCATCATTTTTGAATGACCCATTTTTTAATGGCCTACCAAGTGAAGAGATGGGACCAGTAAGTTGTAGAGGGAATAACAAAGAAAAAAAGAGAGAACAAGTGAAGGAATGGACCACACAATAAGAAGGGAAGCCCTTACCCTTGGACCACGATGAACAGCAACCCAAACGAAGCAGAGAACCTGGACGAAGCAAATGGACCACTAAAAGTGAAACCCACTAAGTGGGTCATGTACAGGAATGTGTATCGGCTCTTTCTGTCTCAGTTTCGCCTTTTTTAATTTAAAAAAAAATCATTTTTTTAGGGTTTTCAGAACCGGGTCGCGCATGACCCAACCCAGTTTCGGACGCGACCCGCTTCTTCCCAGAATCGTGTGAGTTCTTCTTGAATCGCGATTTTCCGATTCGTAACACGATACACACGATTCAGACACGATTCATGATCAAAAACGATATGCCCTGCGATTCGAATCGCGGAACCACGGAATCGTATTGTACGTTTCGAATCGCGATTCGTCTGATACTTACTACCATGTTTATAATTAACATATTTAAATTTAATTATTTTTTTTAAAAAATATTGTTTAAAATTATAATTTCCTTCTATTTCCATCCTACTAAACAACTATAATTTTCATTCTATTTCTTATCTATTCCCTTCAAATCATTTATCACCTATTGCCTTCAAATCCTTTCCCTCTTCCAAACAAAGCATTAGTTTTTGTGAAATTGAAGATCTTTGGTTTGCTATAAATGTATTTTAAAAGAAAATTTCATTTTTTATGTTATCAATACTTTTTTTTTCAATCCATCATAATTACAATGACGACACCAAAGTTTAAATTTTAAACTTTGTGCATGCTACTTCAACTTCTCACCATGTTATTGGTACTTGTTGGCTTCATGTAGCATAATATTTGAGATTCCTGCAAAATTATTTTACTTTCTCATTATTTATTTTGTTCTTGATTTGCTAATGTTTTCTTGTGTTTAAAATTTTCCCGGAATTAATTTCCTACTTAGGCACTAAAATTCATGAGTTTCTTTGAATTAGCTTGATGTATGTATGCCAGTTAGTTGCCATATTATAACAGACTCGACCTTAGTTATCAATAGCAAACTATAGCACAAATACAATTCCTTTGCTATGTGCTACAACTACAAAGTTAATACAGAAAACTGCCGTTATTTTTTATGTAAAAGGACCAACCAAGACTCAACTAAAAGGACAATTTGTTTTTAATACATTTAACAAAATTAGGACTCTACTTAAAAAATATATATGAATCCTAGTAACCATTGGAATATGAATGATGGAATTTGAGTTTAATCAATACAAATAGACCGTATCACTGGGAGGGCATGCCTAATGGCCTATTATTCTTAATTTTATGTGTATAATTGATATATATTCTCTCCATTTTGTCCTGGCTGATATGATTCTTGTAACATAATTTTTTTAATATATAAAAAAATTATTGATTAAAAAATGAAAATTTATTTTTATAGGATTAAATATAGTTTAGGTGCAAAGCTTTGGTTGAGGGTTGAATTTGCTGGCTATGTATTTTGAACCTGGATAATATCTGGACAACACATGTTTGTGTCCTTGTTCATGCAGAAGGATGATGTTTCCAAAATTCGAAACTTCCAACAATGGAAGTGGAGAAGAAAAAAAGATAAAAATACAAATGAATTTTATGATAACTTTAAGCTTAGTATTGTAGAAAAGAGAAAGGAATTGAGGTTTAATATGAAGAAAATGAGAATAAGAAGTTAGCATGAAATGAATAAGAAAATGAACCTTTTCAATTTATAATTGAAAATCATGTCATGTTGAGGTTGGAGCTATGTATTAGATTCTTTTTTTCCAAAATATGTAAATGGTATACAAGTCATAAGTTATTATATATATAAAAAATTACTAATAAAAACCTAACTTTGTTGCATCCAACTAAAATAAGTAACATAAATTATATTTGCTAATTATATAAAAGAAATTATTGATCGAAAAATAAACTTATCTATAGGATCAGATATAGTCGAGGTGCAAAAGTTTGGTTGTGGGTCAGGTTTGTTACCTGGCCATAGGCCATGTATTGTTATTCGAATTCTCTCTTGCAGTGTTGTGTTTGTAATCTACATTATGTCGCTTTACTTCATTTTGCAACCCCATTCTTCTCAACCCTAAAATCGTATTGTTTGTTTCTTTCTTCTTTTGTTTGTGTCGAAACGACATGGAGGTGATGGGAATAGTAAAAGGTTTGAGCAGGATAATTGTGCATTGGGTTAGGCGGTGACAGTGTTTGAAGTTTAGGGCTAATTGAAGAAGGCCCTTGTCCCTTGCCGAGTAATTGCTCTGTGACACTCTCAACTTCTTCCACATCAACATTAGGGTTGCATGAAAAGGCGTGGGTTGCATTCTAGTATGGAATCACAACCTAGACTTTGCCCTACATTTTGGTCCCTTCATTTGCTTCAATCACTGTTCCACCTCCAATGCACTTCCTGTGTTGATTACTACCTTCTTTCTGATCCATGCCCCTAAGCATTTCCCATTTATTTCATCACCGTATAATGTTCATATGTTAGGTTTTACTTTGTCTTCATTTCGAGTCTATACTTGTTGTAAATTTTAAATATTAGATTAAAGTTTTCCTTTGAAAAATAATTTCACTCGTTGGAGTGCCTTTTCTTTCGTGATAAAGAATCATTATCATTCAAATTTTTATGAGTTTTCTTCTATTGCACTGTAGTTATATATGCCAGTACAATCATTCTTTATCTACATTGTGTGCATAACAGGTGTTTGACGAAATTTCCCACAAAGGAAGCTCATGGACTATAGGTTTCTGATTGTTGGGCCCAATTAAGCAAAAGGCCCAATCGGTTCAAAATTTTAAATTTCACAGCGCCTTTTCTTCCTTTTCTCTCCCAACACACAAATTTACAAGATTTGAACCCCAAAATGCCAAAGCGAAGAAGACAACTGCGAAAGCAACCGAATCAAAAGCTGAATGTGAACCTCAAACTCAAACGCAGTCGCCTCAATTCATGGACCTCGAAATCCAAGCGATTAGGGCGGTTCGCGACGTGGAGGTTGAGCACTTGCTGACGGAGCTGCAATTCCTGCGCTCGCGTTTCAGCAGTGAGCAGCTTCAGAAACCGCTGTTTCAGGTTTTCCAAGAAACCCTACCCAACCTCTCTGTGGTGAACGACGAGCGCAACAAGAAAGTGGGAGTGAAATGGAGGGGGAAAGAGAGTTGCAACGACGTGCACGCTTCTTTGCTCCAAAGGTTGTCCATTCCTCGCTTCACTGGCTTTGAATATTCTACCAATGCACGTTTCAAGGACTGAATGTTTTTGTTTGTGTTTATATTAAATCAGGACCTACTGTGCTGAGATTGCACACAATGTATCCACAAAGAAGAGGAAGGATATTGTTGAGAGATGTTTTTGTGACAAGCAAAACTGTCAGACTTCGCAGCCAGGAAGATGAATAGATCCTCATGTCTGGGATCCAGATTTATATTTTGTAGTGAGCTTTGGTTGATAGATAGACACCCTTGGTAAATTTTGATTGCTTTTGATATTTTCTTGACCAAAACTTTGTTGCATGTTATACATTTTTTATGTTGCTTTTTGTTACAAAATTTTTCACCTAATCTTGACTATATCTTTGGTTCTAGTTAACGTGGGTTGTTTTTGACGTTTTTTTTTTTGTTTTGCTTCACCTTATTAGCAATGTGGTGGTTGTCATAATGGGTCTGTTCTTATCTGACAACTAAATCAAAAATTGACAGCTTATCAAAAGGAACCTTGAATTAGAGAGATAAGGGAGATTGGTTAAAAAACTCATTTATCACACAATTACTAGGCCTGTCATTTCTTTTGCAGGCAGAGTTGTTCATCAATAATTCGTGCAAGCTCTTCATACTGATCACTGGGATGCAGTGGTTCATATTCTCAAGAACATTGAAAAGGCTCTCGGACAAGAACTTCTATATGAAGATGAAAGAGACACCCAAGTTACTGGGTATTATAATGCTGATTGTGTATGATGCTTAATTGATAAACGCTTTACTAATGGATATTATATATCGATTGATAAGAGTGTTTTATAGAAAAAAAAAATCGATTAATTGCTGTAGAATATAAAATATAGTGATAATCTACTCATTCTTCATGTTGTCTTTAATCCAATGTTTCATGAAAGGATTGGACAAATAAAAATTGACAGGCTATGTTCAAGAAAAATTATTATTGTATCTATCAACTTAATGATGAACTTTAAAGATCTTGACAAAATCTCTAACATCCTTGAATTCAAAACATTTGTCCCAAACTTGAGCATTCAATCTATATACTACAATTTCAGATTTGTTGAAAACTGCATCTGGGAAATTAATGCCTAGATAGTTTAATAGCCATATTCATGTATAGTGACTTATTATTGTCCTGGGTTACATTTCCTTCATTGCTCTTAAATGTAATTCAACATGAAACTATTATTATAAATAGTCATGCTGCTAATTACTTTTTCACTCGAGCATTTAACTAAAATTTAGTTTTCAACTCCTATAATTAAAATGAATAATGAAAAGAAATATTAAATCACGAAGGTCCTCTTTTCTGATAGCGACCAAGTTCTACAGTCGTGTGTAAACTACACAAAATGCAAAACTTTGAACTTCCTAAGCAAAATTACTAGCAATAACAAAGTTTGAACTAATTTTCCCTTCATCCCAGGATAATAAAATATAACAAAAATCTGAGCACAACTACTCCATATGATTAGATAGCATAATTTAGGAATTAGTAAATTTTCCTTACTTCTTGTTTTTCTTTCTTCCATTCACTTGTTTCTCTAAACTTCTAAGCCTTTGACTAATAACAGCAGAAGAAGATAACTTTTTATTTGAATGTTTTGATGGTTCATCTGGCATTGAGCTTGGCCCATTTGTCGCTGTTGTAGCTTGTTTTAGAGCTGGAAATATAGAAAAGGGAGATTGAGGAGGATTGGTGGGTGCTGCAACAGGAATTTCAGGAATACCCGATGTTTTCTTTACACCAGGAACTTTAAGTACTGTAAAATTAGAAATTAGAAAAAGGGGATTAGAAAAAAAATTCAAGAAAATATAATAAAGGTTCACTTGTGTTTGCACTATACAGTTGAGAGTGAAAAAGATCCTTTTAGTGCAAAAATGATGAGAAACTTAGACGATACATGAAACACAGCCTCAAACTTGAGTCTTACTGACCTACTACAATGATTTCCTTCGTTAAGAGAAATTCAAGTCCATACATCAAGTTTCTGCCTATTAAAGTGATGACAATTGGTAATGAGCAAGTAAAATTTCAAGAGCCTTACCAAGTCCATACATACGTGAGAACAAATTTGATGTAACCCAGTAACAGAAAATTGCCTGCACAAATATAAAGGAATACAAGTTAAAATTATATAGGATGGACAAATGAAAGCGAACATGAAGCTGTAAAAAGAAAATAGGCAAACACTCCTTTTCTTTCAAAATTAGCTAAGCATCATTAGATATTACAAAGAAAACACAGCATATAAAGCGAATACATCTGGATGGAAAATGGATAATCAATAACCAATCTATATATATTTATAGCATATATAAAAAGCATGGATTGCAGAAACCTTTGCTTGCCAAAGATACCTTTCAAATTAAGGCAAATTACAATATTAATTTTGATAATTATTAAGGCATCTCTTTTCAAATAGAGAAAATGGAACAAGTTTGTAAGTTTCCAGATGGGGATAGAAATAGAATATTACTGGTTAGTCAATACAGAATATTCCGGTTTCCTTACATATTTCAAACAGTAAACTACTACATTATCTTTTCAGCTGAAAAAAAATAATTAAATGGGAGAGAACAGAAGTACAAAGGAGGGAAAAGAAAGCCCTCTGGAGTTTGAAAGATAAATAAATAAACAGCAGATAAAGCAGCAAAGACACCATTTCAAAGGTGCTCACATCTCTCGTGAGATCCATGAAAGAGAACAACCCTAAAAAACCATGGATTGGCACTCACATAGAAGCCAAGAAACAAGTTCTGTAGTCCCAAACTAGATGGAAAGATAGAGGATTCTATTTGATAATTATGGCGTTATGCTCAATTCACAATCACAATTCCCACAAATAAACTATTGGGATATTTTCTATAGGAGAAAACTGAGGTGACGTTTTTGCAATAGCAATCAAATTATTTCCTGTACTTCTCAAAAGACATTTGTAATAACAATAAAACCTTAAAATCTCCCATGCAACACATGTCAAAAGACTCAACCATAGTCAGAATCTCATAATTCAATGTGATTCAACAAGTCAGCAATTCAGATCATGACATTAATGGGATGTGGCTTTAAGTCATGTAATGCATGGATGAATCAGTAAGCAATCTGCTATTTTTACCTTTTCTTTTATTTTGTTTCACTAATTTTCATAAAAAAAAATTGAAAAGCAAAATGTTTTAATTGTTTACAAAAAGGAAATGAAGGAGCAACCAAATGCACCCTATCTGGTTATTTCAGTGCTCTATTTTCATTCTTCTGAAACAGTTTCGCACAGATCTCTTTCATTCTGTGTAGCTGTTCCTTTGTTCTGTTGTCTTTCTTCTAAAATAAAGGCTTCAATACAGAGTTATGACCTGTGATTTTCGTTCATGAGACTTGTAGTTAAGTTGTTTTGTCAATTTGTAGTTTAAAATCATTACATTGAGCACTATAAATCATTATATAATTTAAGCTAATTTTTATAGCATCTCTGGATTTGATATAAATTATATAATATTCAAAATTCAAAATTAGCTTGATGGAACACAATTTGATAACCTTGGTCAAAACTAGTATATAAAAATGATGTTAAAACAATGTGTTAGATGACCTAATAAGATGACTAAGGCGTATATTACGAAAAGTGGGAGCACTAGGGGATCAGAGTTACATGTGGCAAAGTGGGAAGTGTGACCTCATGTGACAACCTGTTACACTCTGGCTATAGGGCTGAGGAAATGCGAGAACCTAGGAATTGGCTATAAGAAAGAGGAAAATCAGGTCTCTCAAACACTGGAAATCTGGAACTATCCTTGTATTTTCTTTTCTTTTTTTCACCCTATTCTTGTAAATCTCTCCGGCTTCGTTCACAGAGCCTGCTGAGTTCAGATACCACCTTGATATCAGGTCGGTAGTGGTGAATACATACATTATCTTCAGCTCTGCTTCACATCCTTGATAGAAGATCTTTATTCGGAGATACACAAGAATTAGGAAAGTGATAAAGGGAATTGACGGAAGGGACCCAGGCCTCTCAACCACTGGGACTATCCTGGTATTTTCTTTTCTCATATTGCAATTTTCTTCTGTTTCATTTGCTTACCTTGCCAAATTCTGACATCAGCATGATATCAGGTTGAAGATGTCAATACATACATTATTTTCAGTGCTGTTATACATTGCCAACCAAGTTTCTATTAGTCATATAAACCACACAATTCCTACAATGCATGCTATCTAAAGCCAAAGCAGATTTTGATATTCAAAGTATTTTAAGATATCAAAAGATTATTAGGTACCTTTTGGTAACTTAACTTTCGATTTTATGGATTGAGTTACACTAGCTAAGTTACTGGTCAATAAGCAAACTGTATGATTTTGGAACTCGGTTTAAAATACATACACGTCAAAATGAACGCTACCCATTGTAGCTTCTGTGTCCCACCCATTTTAACATGGTGTTGGAACATGATTCCACACACGTGGATAGTATGCAACAAATTTTACTGAAATATAAGGCAGAACCTGTTTCTTTCCAATTTCATACAACAATTATTTCAAATGCAGGAACAAATGTAAGCAAAGGGTTGTTACTTCCCAAAAAAAACTAAGCTAGGAAAATTTACCTTTGGAAATCCCATGGTGAAAGGAACTGTAAGAACAGCAAGTCCCCTAGAGACATTTTTAACGGTACCAGCCACAGGATTTCCTTCCATCCCTTCTTGCATATTACACTGAGGATCAATAAGAAATCAATTAAACAAAATTGGACCAAAACATAACATCATCAATCTTGCCAACAAAATTTAAAACTTTTCATTTCTTTATAAGTGACTAATTATGTAGTGGATACTGGATACAAATAAAATTCAAAACAGAAGACCAAAAAATATTCAGTAAAGAGTAAAGAAGAAAGTCAATCTAAGAAGAGAATTGTAGAGAAAGTTAAAAGTTTCTGAAAAGTAAATGCGTAAATGCTCACCTCCACTGTTATTAAGAATGACAATGCAGTCAAAACTGGAAAAATGTATAAGGCATCTGGAGTTGCTTGATCAATAAACCAAGAAGCTCCGCCATGCTTGAATGATGGCACTTTTTCAGCCATATTGGTTATCTATCTTTAAACACAGAAATGAGAATGGATAGAAACAATATAAAGGCTCGTAATACTCTTAAAAATAGGCAAAATATCAAGTTGAAACTCAGCTTACCGCAAGAAAAAAACTCACAAAAATAGGACCTTGAATAAAGAGTCCCTTCAATGGTGTGAAAGGACTCACACCATATCTACATTCATCAAAACAAAAGGAAGAAAATATTAAGTGAAACAAAACATCCGTAATGTTTGATTAATATTTGAAACACTGTTTCCTAAAAGCCATGAACCAGTTACGTATTAGTTCTTAAACATAAACAACAATTACTCTTCTAATATATATTCAATGATCACACCTCTAAGCAAAAAGAAATGTTTAAATATCTGACAACGCATGTCTTCAGATGCAACATTTTCCATCTAATGGAAGTGTAGCCATGTTAACAGTTCATAAAAATTAATACAGAACACTGATTATTTAACAATTTCAGGTATGACCATCACAGTTCTCAAGTCAACACAAAGATTTCTCCACTAGCAATACATTATAATATTATATCACTAAATGTAGATAGGGAGGATTAAAAAATGACTATTAGCAGATACAGAATAGAATAAAAAAGACCACGAAAATAATGACAAGAATATCCTTTACAAGAATATTAAGAAACCACTTACTCCTTAAATAGCTTCTTCATCTGCTGCTGACCTTTAGCAACGGCAACGGGGTCCGTAGTCTAAGAATCACACAAATCCAACATATTTAATTCATTGCTCGTGATTCACCAAGGCAGATCTAAATTTGATCCAATAACATTTCAAAACTCTCAATAAGAGGGTCTATATTGTGTCACTGCTCAATAATTCAGAAACAAAGCCTTGAAAATACGATGGTCCAAGATACATACCGTACACTGTTACTATTCTATTAAATTGGAAGAAAGATGACAAGACCATGTGAACCAAAATAAAAGGCCACAGAGAAATGATCCAGAAACATATGATAGAAATAGAATAATAATAGTAGTAAAATAATGTACAACCAGAATTCTCAGTCCCGATATCAAAGAATGATTCTTAATAAGTGGTGGTGGTGGTGGTGGTGATGATGAATCATGAGCAATAAAGTCTACCATTCCAAGATATATACATGTCCAAAGAATCTTCCAATCACATTCTGTCAGTTCAGCACTGCTAGAGCAGACCCCATATCTATAGCACTCCCATCACAAAGCACTCACAAAACTCCCGAAAATAAAAATAAAAATAATAATGCTAGATCACTACTTGCATACATTAATACACCACTTTATTAGAGATTAGAGGAAATGATAAGAGAGATGAGCAAAGAGGCAAACAGAGTGAGTTACAACTAATCAGAAATTTTGGACCCTTTTGCTTGAAGCTGAAACTAAAACATGACAGCTCCAAATACTTGTGTTTGAAAGAACTAAAGGTGCAGAAAGACCACCACAGAATATGCCATTGACACTATTGTTTGCAGCTGCAGCCTTTTCACCAGGTTTTGAAGCATAGTAATTCCTTGATCTAGTCCATCTCCTGGAAAATGGATCATAACCTGCCTCCCCTTCTTTCAAACCTGTATTCACCGGCTTCAATTCAGAAGCATTCTTGAAGTTCTCAAACCTGTTTTTCCTATTCATCTCAGCCAGCTTCAATGCCTTGGCATCCTTCTGCTTTGCTTGTCTGGATGCCTCTAATTCTAGCAGTCTTGTCTTGAGCCTCTCCATTTCTGCATCACCATGCTTACTTTGTGCTATTTCCAATTCCCTCCTCAGCCAATCCTTCTCAGTAGCAAGTTTAGTGGTCTTATTGAGGCAGACTTTTTCTCTTGTAACATCTGCTTCACAGTAGCTGCTGAGTAGACAAATGTGATGGCTTTTTGACTTTTTAATATATACAGGAAAACTCGCTGCTTATAAAAAGAAATGGGATTGTTAGATTTGCGATTTGACTTTTCTCATGCGTTGCTTTGAGCAATTTCCTTTAAACTAGTCCAAGATTTTCTTCGTCTTTTGCTAGATGCATTCGCAGAATTTGCTACTTCTTTTGCAGACATGTTTGTAGTTTTAATAGCGTTCTTGGACAAGGAACTATCTCTCCTTCTCTTCTTTCCTTCTAACAAAGTTGTTGTATTTGTACTTGATGGAGTAGCTAGACAGTCCACAAGAGTGAGATCCTTAGCTACAACTTGTGAAGGAAACACATTTATCTCATTCACTTCATCTTTACTTACAGTTCCTTTCTCTAATTTAATCTTACAAGATTCATTTGTACTGTATTTTGATGAAGGTGTTGACTCTAACAATGATTTATCTTTTGATGGACAAATTCCTTTTACGTGTCCCTTAGGGGTCCCTCTCTTCTGATTCTGATGCAAACAAAAATGGCACTTGTACACTATGTTGTTTTGAGTGATGTTATCAGTCTTCTTGTGCTTGTGCCTGACCTTCGATTTATTCTTCTCAATTCGTACAGTTGAATTAAAGCCAGGTTGAAGAACAGTTTCACATCTGTTGAGCAGTCAATGATGATCAGGGTTGATATTCAAGCAAACCCAAATAAATGCAACTTAAAAAAATTGGAGCTATCTCACGTTTGATTCTAACAAATTACATTAATTCTTCAACAATATACCATATGGGTATGGTAAATAAGCACAACACCTATAAACTAAACCATATTGAAACCTCTGAAGAAAAGAATGGCGTACAGAAGTTTCAGAAATTGGATTGTTAATTTGAAACTTGAAGCATACCACAAATTCTATAGAACAGTGTTACTACTCTTTAAATAAAATTGGTCATATAAAATATAACAGTGGTCAACAAAGCATCAATTTTAACTACAAAGATGACATATAGCCCTGAGCTAATTTTGATAGGATTATAATTCCAATAATACATATGATATACAGATCATATTGCTCTACATACAAGCCGGTTCAAGCCATCAAATTAAATTATTAAAGGGGCAACTTCTGAAGCGAAACATAACAAAGCATTGAAGCACAAGGGTACATAACTAAGCATAGAGAAAAGCAAATGTAAGGAAAAGTGAAATAGGAAAAGAAGAAGATAAAAAAACCTTTGGCAAGTCATTAGAGAAGGATCAGGTGGTACTCCGGTGGCCTCTCCAGAGGTGGCGTATTGGTGCCCATAGAATGCAGCCAAAGAGGGTATGAGAGGGTCATTGGTGGTGGCCCACAGTGCTAGGCTTTTCAAGTGCTCAAATCTCAATTTGGACTTGGTGTTAGAGGCTGCCTTGGTTTGTATTCTTCCGGTGGCTTCTTCCCTCGATGATATTGCAGTGTGAGACACTGACCCCAATTTTTGGGTCCCTCCTCTCTTGCCCATGAGCTTCGTTTGTGGGAAATTTCGTCAAACACCTGTTATGCCCACAATGTGTTGAGAAATTATATTATAATTTCAATTTTAAATTAAATATTTAATCTAACTAATCTTTATTTTTTTAATACTATAACGTTCCAAAACCAAAACAGTTTTTGATTTTTCACCTGTGACCAAGTCTCATGCTTTTTCAGATTACTTAGCACAAGTACATTCACTTATTTAGTGTTACCTACCGGAAAGTTTGAAAAGTAAATGAAAGATAAAACTAATGCATGTACTCTTGATTTGAAAAAAAAAAGTATATAATATTGTGCCTATATATATATATATATTAGTACGTGAGAAAAAAAAAATAGAAAAATATACAATAAATTTATTTCTCTCTCTCTCTTAACATTATTTTTACTATTAAAATATATTTTTTGGAGCAGTAGAGGTGCAGTAACTTAAAAATATGCAAAACAAACTATTATTTCTCGTTCTACTATGGAAGTTAAAATAATTATTTTAGATACTGTTAGTAGTGAGGCTAAATTTCTTAAAAATTTATTATATGACTTGCCATTATTAAATAAACCTATACCTCCAATCTCAATGTATTGTGATAGTCAAGTTGCTATTGCTAAAATTACTAACAAAAACTTTAATTTAAAAAAAAAAAAAGACACTTGAGAATAAGATACAAATCTATCAGAAATTTGATAACTCATAGTGTTACTTCTGTTGATTTTATCATGTCTGAAAATAATCTTGCAGATCCACTCTCAAAAAGGGTTGACACGTCAACAAGTACTTGAATCGTTGAGGGGAATGGGACTAAAGTCCATCAACTAGTTGCAACAATGGACACTCGTCTCCACATAAATGGCGATCCCATAAATGGAGTTCAATGGGTAATAACGAAATTGTTTGTTAACTAAGTACACCATTGTAAATTGCCAAATTATTGCATGTTCTATTCCTATGGCAAGATGTACTCTAAAATAAACTAAGACAGTAATAAGGTTGAGGTATTGAAATATTTATTTATTGTGTTAAAATTAAAAATACTTCTTAATAGACTCAATGACAATTGTTGTAGGGGTGAGTGTCACAAACTACCCTTGGAAGGGTTCACCTAGTGAGTGTGGTGGTGGAGCCGCTACTTTAAGATATGGACAATCTCTAAATGACACTCGCGAAACAAGATACTCGCACAATGTCATAATGCGCTCCATTGATTAGAACTCAAATGAACACATTTATTATATGTGTTATGTTGTAAAATTTAGTCAAAGGGATATGGCTCAAGACAATCATGTCTCCATATTCTCTTAGATGGAAATTCATATGGACTAGGTACAAGGCTCAAACCCGAAAAGTTCCTTATACCGAAGATATAATATATCATGTTCCATTAAAATATTTAAGTTTATATAATATATATAAATTTTTTATATTTAAAATTTTAAACTAGTGGAGAATCGTTGAAAAATTATATTATAATTTAAATTTAAATTAAATATTTAATATAATTAATCTTTATTTTTTTTAATACTATAACGTTCCAAAACCAAAACAGTTTTTTATTTTTCACCTTTGACCAAGTCTCACGCTTTTTCAGATTAGTTAGCACAAGTACACCCACTTGTTTCCTATAACCAAAAAGTTTGCAAAATAAATGAAAGATAAAACTAATGCACGTACTCTTGATTTGAAAAAAAGTTATATAATATTGTGCCTATATATACATTAGTACGTGATAAAAATAGATAGAAAAATACACAACAAGTTCATTTATCTTTCTCTTAAAATTATTTTTACTATTAAAATATATTTTTTGGAGCAGTATTTTTTGATTCGAGAATCTTTTGCTGCACTCGAACAATTTAACAGGTTGACGTATTTTGAAAGAGGAGCGCACTATAAGACTCAAAATTATCGGTGCAATTAATATAATTAATCTTTATTTTTTTTTAATACTATAACGTTCCAAAACCAAAACAGTTTTTGATTTTTCACCTTTGACAAGTCTCACGCTTTTTCAGATTAGTTAGCACAAGTACACCCACTTGTTTCCTATTACCAAAAAGTTTGCAAAATAAATGAAAGATAAAACTAATGCACGTACTCTTGATTTGTAAAAAAGGTATATAATATTGTGCCTATATATACATTAGTATGTGATAAAAATAGATAGAAAAATACACAACAAGTTCATTTATCTTTCCCTTAAAATTATTTTTACTATTAAAATATATTTTTTGGAGCGGTATTTTTTACTTCGAGGATCTTTTGTTGCACTCGAACAGTTTAACAGGTTGACGTATTTTGAAAGAGGAGTGCACTATAAGACTCAAAATTATCAGTGCAATATGGACATTTTTTCTCTAAAGATAGCGCTCTGTGTGCTTCAACCTAGACTACTATAAATTTATTATTTAATATTTTAATTTACTATTTGTGTTTAATTAGTTGTTAGTGATTATTTTGTTTTAAATTTTATAGTATTTATTGTATTATTGATATTGATATTATTGATAAATCTAAATATTTATTTTTCATGTGCTCTATTAAATTTATTTTTCCAACACAATGTTGATAAAGAATGATTGTACTGGCATATATCAAAATGAAAGCAACCAAGCAAAATCGAAAGGGAAAAAGGCAAAGAAACCCTAAACCCTAAATTATATACTGGAGTATGCATTATGTTGTTTAGGCCAAATGGGAGTCCTATATCTGAAAGGCACGTCAGGGTGCATGGTTTTGAGTAGGGGTGGGCAAAATGAATTGAACTGAACTTATAAAAACTATACTGAACTTAAAAATAGTTCTCATGAACTGAACTAAACTAAATATTAGTCCAGACGAACTGAACTGAACTATTTTTTGGGGTCATTGAACTGAACTTAACTATACTATAAAAACTTGAACTGAACTGCAATTTAAACTGCACTGAATTGTTATAATATTTTGAATTGAACAATTTTGACTCATTGATCTATCAAAATAGGACACATTTGCCAACTTTACTTTATTTTCCATTTTATTTAAATTTTTCAAAGAAAAAAAAATAAAATTAAGTCAAACAAACTCAGGGAATTTTAAGCCTAAAAATAAGTAGTCCAACATAGCTCAATTGATCTGTTAGGTTCGATAAAATTGATAGAATTTTTTTTATCACTTTTTTTTCTCTAAAGTTTTGGTTATTAGACTATCGAGTTAATCCATTAATACATAACATGTTAGACATTGAATTTTTATCCTTTTATAAAAATAGTTCAATTTTTATAATTCAATTCAGTTTTATAGTTCAGTACAGTTAACTTTCCAACAGTTCAGTTTTTTTCTAAACAGTTCAGTTCAGTTTTTTTTACAAACAGCTCAATTTTTTATAGTACAGTTCAGTTTAGTTCACCACCAGTTCAGTTCAGTTCAGTTTTTTTTGCCCACCCCTAGTTTTGAGGAGTAAAGAGAGAACCGGAATAAGACGGAATAACATCTGTCGTAATTATGCAATTTTGATCCTCAAGATTTTAATTGAGTAATTTTAGTCCTTAAACGATTGTAATTGTGTGATTTTAATTCCTTAATTTTTAATTGAACAGTTTTTGTCCCTCAACTATTATAATTATGCGATTTTAATTTTTTCATTAAAAATTTAGTAATTTTAGAATATATATATATATTAAAATTATACAATTGTTTACTTATTTAAGTTAACGTATATTATAAATTTTGTTAATATATCAAATGATATATATTTATTATTACTAAATAAATAAAATTTATATATTATTAATATTTTAATATTATTCATAAATTAATATCAATAATATTTTTAGTATATTTATAGATAAACTAATAATTTGATAAATATGACTTAGTATATATTAATATATTTTTACAAAAATATAAATATATAAGAAAAGATATGTATATTTCTAATCAATATACTTATATTTTTGTAAAAGTATATTAATATATACTAATTCAAATTTATCAAATTATTAGTTTATCTATAAATATACTAATAATATTATTGATATTAATTTATCAGTAATATTATAAAAATAATAATATATAAATTTTATTTATTTATTAAAAAATATATCGTTTGATCCATTGAAGAAAATTATAATATGAATTAACTTGAATACTCAAATAATTGTATAATTTTAAAAATATTATATATATATATATATATATTAAAATTATTAAATTTTTAATGGGAGAGACTAAAACCGCACAATTATGATATTTGAGTGATTAAAATTGTTCAATTAAAAATTAAAGGACCAAAATTACACAATTGCAATTTTTTAAGGACTAAAATTATCCAATTAAAATTTTAGGATCAAAATTGTACAATTGCAATACTTGAGGGAACTAGAACGCAATTAAGCCTAATTATTTTTTGTTTCAACTATTTGAATAGACTCTGTTCTTATTGATTTAATCCTTTTATTTGTTTTAAAATAAGATTTATTAATTAAATTATTATATTTTAAAAGATCGTTTATTTTTAAATTGATTTGTATTCAATTTAAAATTTATTTTCTTAATGGTTTATATGAATATTTATTTCTATTTTAAAGCAAATGAATCTAAAGGAAAATTAATTTTTTTTCCAATAATTTTAACCGTAACATCTCTGAATTTATTTTATTCTTACAAGAAAACATTAATTTATTTAGGTGCATTGCTTTACAAATGTGAGAAATCGTAGATTTAATATAAAAAAATTAATCAATTATAAAAAAAATTAAACATATCAGTCCACATTTATAGAGATAAAAACAAGGTGTCAAATGTCAGTATCTCATGAATCATACATCAACTGAGCTGGCAGATTGCAGGCCTCTCAATTTCTTTAAATCACTCATTCACACAACTTTCATTTATTTTTATAAAAACAAACAAAACAGAATTTTTTTTAAAAAAAACTTAAATATATTTTGAATCTCTCAAAAATTAAAAACAAATTTATTTTAATCTCTTAAATTTAAAATTAATCTTTTTATATCTATAATTTAAAAAAAATATTATTTTAATTCTTATATTTAAATTTTATTAGAAAATTTGTCAAATATTATTATATAAAATTTAATTATAAGTATTTTTATTAGTGAAAATATTGTATTAAATCTAAATAATACTTTATAATTATTTTAATTTGTCACTTTCAGATATGATATTGATAACTTAAAAGATTAAAATAATATTTTAAAATTATAAATTAAAATAATATTTTTTAATTTAAAAAATAAAAATAAATTTATCTATAAATTTAAGATACTAAAAATATATTTTAAAAAAATTCTGGCCCAGTTTTCACGCCATGGTACCCATTCATTCCCAAAATAGATTTCAAATTATAAATGATGGAAGTCAATCTCAAAGTCTCACGAGGACATCTCCAATAGAAGCAACTCACTTAGATTGCTTCATGCATTAAAAAATGAAAAAAGTGATCCCCAGTATGTCATGTCAGCATTAAATAACTCAAACATAAATTTATTCCAATGGTAAGAAACTTTAAAAAATTCAATTTTTAGAATTTTTTTTCTAATCATTTATGAACCAAATTTAAATTTTTATTAAAAAGGACAATTGCACTACAATAAAAGAAAATAAATTATGAGAAAAAAATATACAATAAGTAGATATTAAAAATAAAATAAAGCAATAATAAATACAAAAACATTATTTAAATTAGGTTGGGGTTATTTTATTTATTTATTTTTTATCATTTTTATTTCTTTAACCCCAACATCTTCTTCTTCCAACGGTGCCTTTTTATTTTTCTTCAAACCGTTATTTTTCTTCCGTTCCTCCTCCAACGCGCCGTCTCCACTTCAATGCTGCCTACCTAAACCCTTCTGTCATCATCGCCACTGCCGCCTCCGCCGCGCGCCAGGTCCAGCCGAGGCTCGCAAAGCTTAGGAAGCAGTCCGCATTGGAGTTGCTTGATCATTAAAATTGCTCTGAACAAGTGTTGCCCCATTCACCTTTGCCTCTCCAAAAAAGCACATGAAGCCCCTCCATTCTTAACTCCCAAATCCAAATATCAATAATAAAACAAATATTCCAAACTTTATTGTATTTTGATCTTACAGTTTAATTTATAAGTAAATTTTACAATTTAATTTTTGTTTCTTTTAAAGTTAATCAAATTGTTTTAAACCTTATTTTGTTAAAATTTATTGGTCATAAAATTAAATTTTAAGTGTAATTGTGTTTTTTTTCCTTTTAATTGAGTAATTTTAATTTTTTTTTTAAATATCATAGTTGTGTAATGTTAGTGGCTCAATTTTTAATTGCACAATTTTAGTTCATCAAGTACTGTAATTGTAAAATTTTTAGTCTTTTAAATATCGTAATTATACAAGTTAATAGAGTTGAAACACCTCTTATCGTGTCTCTATATATTTTGTTTAAAAATAATATAAAATAAAATTAATAGATTATAAAAAATGTAAATTAACTGAGATAATATATAATTAGAAAAGAATAAAATAATTATTAAAAAATTGGAGACAAAAGTTAATTACAAAATAAAAGAGTAGTTATTATTGCTATAGTGGAAAATTATTTTTTATACATATTTTTTCTTCTATTTTATCCTTAAGAGATATGATAGTCGGAAAAAATTCTTAAATATACTCTCCTCAAACTCTGATGTCAAATCTGATTATATCTTTCAATTTTTAAAAAACCTTAAACTAAGGAGGGTGTATTGGTTTAGGATTTCATAGGATTTTAAAAGACTTTTTTTGAGTAAAAAAGTCCGTTGGTATTCAATCAAGACTTTATATCGCTTAAAAACAATCCAGTGGTATTCAATCCGGATTTTTAAATTTTTTTAAAGAGTCCATTAAAATCCATTAGTATTCATTTGAAACTTTTTACAACTTAAAAATAATCCATTGGTATTAAAAAATATAGGGATTTTAAAGGATTGTTGTTTTAGAGAGATTTTGATGGACTTTTTAGTGGTATCTATAAATACCAAATTCATAAAATAATCTCATCCAAACCCATAAGATTTTGGAGGATTGTTTGAAGTGACTTTTCAAGTGCTTCAAGAATTTCCAAGTGAGTTTTTCATTTTTTTTTCTATGCTCATGTCTTCTCCATTTTTTTTATTTTGTTAATAATATTGCACTATTACTTATATATAATATTGTATTATTGTTCTTATTTCATTCTCCTATTTGGTTAAATTTCTATACGTAAATGATAGTATCATTAACTTGCTCTATTTTTCTCTCCGTTCTCTTTAATTGACTTGCTCTATTTTGTTCTATTTAATTGAGATTGTTCCTCAATTATATAACACAGAAAACACTTGAAATTTTAACTTTTAAGTAGTAATTTTTTGTATAACACGCGTCAAGAAAAGGAAAAGGTGAAAGCTAAAATTGATATCATTATCTCTATAATTAACTATAGATCTTCAAGATCTTGTAATCAATTTAGATTTATTAGAACAATATATATATATATATATATATATATATATATATATCTCCCTCTCTTGAATTTGTTATTATTATCATTCTCCTTTTATGACTCATCAATTATTATTTTTTTTACTATGAGTTTTATTTTTTTAATTTTTTATATTATGAAATTAAGATTTTTATATTTTAAAAAATAAAATTAACATAAGACATTGCAGTATCTTAGAATTCAATACTAACAATATTTATTCACGAGTGAATAATTGAAAGCAATTAAAAATTAAAAAATTTATTTTGTATCTGTAACAAATTTCAGATATTTTTTTTCTCCCAATTGATGTTTGTAAATTTCTACTTTAGTACCGATATAAAATAGAGGGACATATTTAGTTATAAGAGAGTAGGGTAGTTGTCCCACTATTTTTTTAAATCATTTATAAAATTATAAATAAAATATTTTAAATCACAAATTATAAAAAATTTGAAATGTTGTTTAAAATAATTTTTAGCATGTGTGAGACTACATAACTTTCTTCGTAAAGAATGTCATTATGATGAATTTCCAATTTAAGTGATGAATGAACCTTCATCTTCAACATTACTAGTTAATGAAATTCATAATTTTGAGTCTATTATTAAAACACAAGAGCAAGAGCGAAAAGATACTAATGTTTGGAGGACTAGTATAGCTATGAATATTTGGGTGAATTCTATTTAGAACGACATGATATTACAAAAAATTATTATTATTTATCCAGACATTATTGTTTTTTTTTATTTTTATATTTGACTCTTTTTAAATTTGAATGTATGAAATTTTTTTTGAATTCTTATCTTATGTAAAAAATTTATGAAATTCTGCAAAGTTCACAAAGTCCCGCAGAATCCATTAAAATCCTAACTTAAAAGTCTTGCATAATCCATTAAAATCCTGATTGAAAGTCTTGTGGAATCCTACAAAATCTTAAAAGTCATGAAAATTTTGCAAAGTCTTTTAAAATTCACATGACTTTTTTCAACTAAAAAAGTCTTTTAAAATCCTAATCCAATACACTCCCCGAATATTTTACTTCTAAGATTTTAAAACTATTTAATGTTACAAATACATCATTAACCTACAAGTAGAAAATTATAATTTAAGGAAGTTAATAAAAAAAAAGTGATAAAAATAAATCTAGATGATTTAAAGCGAAGAAACCTTAATTAAATTTTTTAAAAAATTAAATGTCATAATTTAAACTAAAATATTTAATAATAGCATTAATGATACTTTCCATTTTGTATCCTATAATTGTAGAAAGTATAAATTTTACTATCAGTCCATCAAAAATTATTTTAAATAATTTTTGATAGATTTATAATAAAATAAAAATATTATATATAAATTTTAATAAAGTTATTATGAAAATAAAAAGATTAAAAAGAAAAAGAAATATTAATGTAATTTAAAAAATTTTCAAGTAACCTTATGAAATGTGAGTAAATGTTATGGCAATTTAATTTAACATTAAACTACCTAATCTAGTAGTTTTTTTTAAGGTATAAAATATTGATTTATATTGAAAATAATAATTAACCCCTATTCATACTAACTATGCTTCTTGACATTATAAGTTCTGTCATGAAATATGGAGCATCGATCTAACACTTCAAATATAATTTTTGTTCATATTAAAATAATATTTAATTAATAAAATTTATATTTAAATAATATTTGACTAATAAAAATGAAGTTGAAATTGCCCAAATACATGTCTAAGAATGAAAAAACCCTCCATCCAAAGCATGAGAGTAAATATAAAGTGTATTCTCTTCTCAAGACAAGACATACACAAGCCGCTTCCCACTTGTGCTATGTCGGTAACTACTCTATTCTAGTACTCTTCACACAATACATTATGATATACCTTCACTCTGCATTTGTTTGTACGTCACAGAATCCAAGTGTCAGCAACCAGCGAAGGATATCTCTTTCCACTGACCCATCATTTACATATTAATCAACAAATTTTCAAACACAAGGTCTCTCTCTCTTCATTCACCTTTCCTTCTTCTTCCACCTACTTCTCCTTTTCAGCAACAACAGGTCTATATCTTATCTTGGGGTTGCCCACTCCAAAAAAGTAAGAGAGAGAAAGAGAAGGGACAGCACCCACCATTTGTGGCTGCCCTCTATTTTATAGTCCCTAGCCTCAATCATGCCATCAGGTGCTAAGAAGAGGAAAGCAGCCAAGAAAAAGAAGGAAAAGGAATCCCCTTCAACCACCATCCCTCAAGGTACTTTCTGTTCTACTGTGCACTGCTCAACTTTATGCATGCAAAGTTTTTTCCTTTTTCAAAATTTGATTTGTTTTTGGTCCTTTTGGGCAGATGGGTGTCTGTTAATTGTCCTCTTTTGTTGCATTTAGTTTGATTGTGGTTTTTGTGGATTATGCCTCTTGCAAGTCCCTCTCATTCAAAAGAGATTAGATTTTACTGTTGTAATTCTAAATGATTCAGAGACTGGTTGGATACAATCTGCTTTTTAGAGCTACTGTACCTTTTTTTTTTTTTAAACTACTGAAAGTTCTTGTATCAAAAAAATTCTTAATTACACGATTCTGTTTTGGTTTTGGGGGAGGGAGGGTGATTGGGGTTGGTTGATTGGCAATTGTTGTGAAACTGATTGATTCAATGATTAATGCTAGGGAGTGATGAGTTGAAGTCCCAAGATGAGAAAGGAAGTGATGGTGGTGAGGGTGGTTCACCTTCACATGGTGACCATGATCTTGCATTCAATGAAGATGTGGAGGAGGAGGACCCTTCAGGTGCTCAACCATCAGATGCTGCTTCCAAGGACTTGGAAGAAGTCCCTGGTGATACTAAGAGTGATGAAAGTGAAAGAGGAAAAGAAGGTGTTGTTCTGATAGAGTCGGATGTGAAATCTGAGGAGGGTTTTGGGAGCAAAGATGGGAGTGTTGGGCATGTTGAGTCTGCCAAGGAATCTGATATTGGAAATGGGAATGGGAACGGGAACTCTGGCAGTTCAAGTGATGAAAGCGGAACTGTGAAGAACTCAAAGGATGAATCTCATAATTCTGTAAATGAGACAGTTAAATTTAACGAGTTGGTTAAATCCATGGAGTCTTTGCACGCCAAAATGACATCAACTACTCAAAACGTTACGGTTGAGGAGACCGGTGATTTGGTTGTGGAATCTTCTGCTGATCCAGTTAAAGCAGTGGTTTCTGTACCTGAGGTGCAAGATATTGATAATAAAAATGCTTTATTAGAGAAAACAATGGATTCTCAAGTAGAAGCAACTGATCTTGCTGTGGAGGAAAATGAGGATAAAGAACATCCCTCTTCTGATCAGAATGTTAGAACATTAAATTTGGAGGAACCTAAGCCAAGGGAATTTGACAATGAAGTATCAGCATCAGTGTCTCATAGTCCTATCCCTGAATCTAGAATTGGTGCAGAACATGTTAAAGATTCTGACACAGCAGAATGCTCTGAAAATAAGGTTTTTGCATTTTTCTCATGCCTATGCAGCCTAGTATTGATGATTTTTTGTTGACAATTGCTTTAAATTTGTTTGTCTTTTCTTAATCAATCAATATGCAGCCTAGTATTGCATCAACTCCACATGTGGTGCAAAAGACCTCCTGGTTGAGTTGCTGTGGACTGTTTGAAGCTCTGTCAGGCTCCAACCGATAAGTTCAGGTTGGGAATTATTTTGTCTTGGAAAATTTTATTTGTTTGAGGCTTAAATATTCTGCCAACTTCAAAAGTTTTATTTTCCATTCCTCATGTCTGTTTGCAATTGTTTAAGTTGCTTACCTTGTTACATTGTGACTAACTGGTCAGGTTTTCTTCCATTTTTGATTTTTAGGTTTTCAAAGAGAAGTTTGTTCATTTTATTGTATTCACCAATATTTCTCAGTTGATTATGGTCTTTTTTCTTGTCATCTTTTATTTTCTGTTTTCATGTGTGATGTGTATTCTGGTTTTTATGGGTATGTGTTTCATCCATGAATGGAATATACAATGACAAAATTCGGAGATAACATACTTGTGCAGTTGTGCCCACTGAAAATCAATATTAGAAAATGAGAGTTAATCAAAATGTATTTAGGAATGGGATGAATTATTTAAAATTTAATATAGGCTTGAAATAAAGGTATAAGCTCGAGACTCTCAAAACAGTCTTGTAATAAAATTTAATTTCAAGATTGAGTTTGAAGTCGGTGTAGATCATGTTTTACAACAGTTGGTCAATGATATTTTGTCATAGTTTAAGAGTGTAAACCTTAGAGTAAGATGGATTGAAAATGACCTCTTTTATTCTTAATCCGTTTATAGAGGCATTATTTATGCTCTGGACGAGATTAAGTGCCTGTCAAATTCAATTAACAAGAAAATTGAAATTGTGATTTTTTTTAAGGCTATCACTGATAAATTGTGTTTGGTGAAATGAAATCAATACTTTGAATCGGGAATTCTTTTATAATTTCTCTTGATTGCTGAAAACTGAAATATGCATAATTGTTGCTTTGTTGGTTCTAATATTCAGTCTTTTGTCCTCTTATGCTTTTTACTTGAGGTTTACGGCATGAGCTGTGAACACTAGCATAACCTTGATAACTCTCTTGTTAATGGGAGTACACACAGCCACACAAACACATGAATGGAATTGATCACACCATTGCAACTTTGCGTCATCCTTTTTCTTTCCAGCTTTTCCAGTCTTAGTTTTTTGTTCTGTCCAAATTGTGCTTTAATTCTTGTTGCAGATAAGCTTATGAGGAGAGGATTCATAGGTAATTAAAAACATGAAGTTGTTTGGGGGCGATGATTGATTTGTAAGGATTTGCATGGAATTTCAAAAAATGACAAAATACATCATTTCATTTGTTCATCTTTGGTGTTCTAAAACACGTATCATAGTCAACTATGTATTACCATAGTCAACTATGAATAAACATAATTGACTATTTAACAATTATAATCAATTATATATTGTTTATATTCATTTATTTTTTAAATAAATAATTTAAAATAAAAATAATTAGCCTAAATTGTACTTTTGGTTCTCCTATAAAATCAAATTTGCAATTTTGGTTCCTTTATTTTTAATTTTGCAATTTTAGTTACCAAATTTTATAAAATTTGCAATTTTAGTCTCTTTGTTGAATATTCATATGTTAATAGTTAAAATTGTAATATTGGACATGACATATTAGGTAAATGACATGACATTTAATACTTAGGTTTATTGTACTTTTAGTTTTCATTTTTATCTTATAAAAATGGTAAAATGGATGAAAATTGGTATAAAAATGAGAAGTAAAAGTACAATTTATCCTAAATATTAATTGTCAAGCCATCTACCAAATGTCAAATCATGCATAATGTTACAATTTCATTGATCAACGAATGAATATTTAACTAGGAGACCAAAATTGCATATTTTATAAATAGGGTACTAAACTTGCTGAATTAAAAATTGGAAGACCAAAACTATGGATTTGATATTATAAGGAGATCAAATGATCAATTTAGCCAAGTAAATTATTATAATATAATAATAATATTTTTATTTTTAAAGTTAAATAAAAGATATATATTTATAATTATCATATTTAAATTTAATTATTTTTTTAAAAAAAATATTGTTTAAAATTATAATTTCCTTCTATTTCCATCCTACCAAACAACTATAATTTTCATTCTATTTCTTATCTATTCCCTTCAAATCATTTATCACCTATTGCCTTCAAATCCTTTCCCTCTTCCAAACAAAGCATTAGTGTTTGTGAAATTGAAGATCTTTTGTTTGCTATAAATGTATTTTAAAAGAAAATTTTGTTTTTTATGTTATCAATACTTTTTTTTTTTAATCCATCAGAATTACAATGACGACACCAGAGTTCAAATTTTAAACTTTGTGCATGCTACTTCAACTTCTCACCATGTTATTGGTACTTGTTGGCTTCATGTAGCATAATATTTGAGATTCCTGCAAAATTATTTTACTTTCTCATTATTTATTTTGTTCTTGATTTGCTAATGTTTTCTTGTGTTTAAAATTTTCCCGGAATTAATTTCCTACTTAGGCACTAAAATTCATGAGTTGCTTTGAATTAGCTTGATGTATGTATGCCAGTTAGTTGCCATATCAATAGCAAACTATAGCACAAAAACAATTCCTTTGCTATGTGCTAAAAAGTTAATACAGAAATCTGCCTTTATTTTTTATGTAAAAGGACCAACAAGGACTCAGCTAAAAGGACAATTTGTTTTTAATACATTTAACAAAATTAGGACTCTACTTAAAAAATATATATGAATCCTAGTAACCATTGGAATATGAATGATGGAATTTGAGTTTAATCAATACAAATAGACCGTATCACTGGGAGGGCATGCCTAATGGCCTATTATTCTTAATTTTATGTGTATAATTGATATATATTCTCTCCATTTTGTCCTGGCTGATATGATTCTTGTAACACAAGTATGAATAGATATCCATAACTATTTCATTTCCCTTTTTCTAATGTATAAGTGTGTTGTAGAATGAGTGTATGATTCTGGCTCTTTCACCATCTGCAGCAAGTTTTTCTGATTTAAATTTTAGTAGTCAGATACTTTTGGTCATCCATATATTCCTTCTCAGCTGATGATGCAAATATTCCTTCCCAGCTTACATATTTTGAATTAAAGAAGCAATTTATTCACAGAAGAATTTATTTATGGAATTCCCCTAACAACTTATTATTCTAATTCAATCTTACTTTACATTTGTAGTATGATTGAGTAACCTAACTGGGACTCTCAATTGAGAATTTTTTTTTTTCAACGAAATATTTATTATTATTTTAAGCATCTTGGTGGAGTGAATTTAAGAATTGAGACGGCAGATTTTCTAGGTTTCAAGAATCAGACAGCCTATTCAGATTACATATTGTTTGGATATACTGTATCCATCGTTTTATGAATTGTCTTTACACTTTATATAATTCTGATATTGGGGTTGCATCAGAATACATTTTGAAATCTATATTTTGTTGACAAAGTTGGCCATTTACTTCTCTTGCAGATATACAAGAACGAGGATCTCATCTATGGATCAAACTTGTGAAAACTTAGGAGTTCGGTCAGAAAATTTTGTGATATTTTAATGTAGATGTGTTGTTAAGATTTTCCAAAGAATAATGGGCAGAGACCCAACTATATAATTCATGAGGTTTATTAAAGGTTTGTTGTTGTAAGTTGTTGTATTAGCAACATTTTCATCTGAATATACCCGAGTCTTAAAAACTTTTCAAACTACATTTTTGTCAGTATGCAATTATTATTCCTTAGTTCTGCTTAATGTAACTCTGAAACTTCTTTGTGAAGATTTAATGTTGATCATATTATGAAAATGAGCTAGTTTAATTTGAGCATGGAATCAACTTGGGATAAAAGTAATATATAATTTGCATCCTTGGTTGGTCTTCTCACTCAAGTTGTGTCTGCTTGGGTTTTGTATTGACCTTTTGCCTCCTTTATTGTACCCAAGAAAAAAAGACCCTTCATTTTTTATAACACATTTCATTAGAGTATGGTATGATAATTTAATAGAAAATAAGGATGGAATTAACTAGCAAGATCAGATTGTGCATCATGGAAATTTTATTTTTGACCTCAGAATTGAACCAATTTGTCTCTGAACTTTCAATAATCAAAGTAGAAATGAGTGTGTGGTTGTGCTTGTTTTTTCACTTGTCTTATTTCGCATGGCATGTGGTGCCATGTGAGATGGCTCAACTCTTTAAATTTCCTAACACTCATGTGACAAAGCAACAAAGTTGTGTTTGTTTTATGTGGGTTAGGTTTTTATTTTTTTTTGTATAAAAAAAAAACTTGAAAAATTTGCCATGTTACAAACCAACATGAATTGTGTCTGCATCTAGGACAACTCGTTATTTATTTTTCAGAAGACTTGTTAATATTAGTTGATAAATTAAATAAGTAGAATGTTTTTACCAAGAGTTATTTAGAGAGATTAGAGCAATTAGAAGATTTGTTTTTGGTTCATAGATATATTCTACCGGTGTTTTAAAATTGATAATGATTAATCTATTTTTATGAAGTATATTTTTGTTGATAAGATATTATTTTAATATAAATTAAAATTAAACCTTAGAGTATCAAGTTGATCCTTAAAAGATGTTATTAATATTTAGAATTAAATAAATAGTTTTGTTTGTACAGTTAATTTATCCTAATGTTATTTTTATATATATATTTTTTAATTTGAAATAGGATTTTAGTATAAACAAAACATTATGCTCTTTTCCTTTTTCCTATTTACTATATGATATGATAACAAGACTATAAATTACTTTTCCTCTAAGCAACACCCCTCCACACCACATATTTGCTATGTTTTAATTTTGCTACATAAAACCTCTCTTCTCTGTTTCTCCTTACTTCTTCCTACTTTCAACTCTTTTCTCAAGAAATTCAAGACAATAATGTGATGACGGTAGTTCTAGGAATAGAGATTATTCGAAGAACTTACGGATTTAGGGATTTCAAAGATGAATCCGAAGAATTGTATATCAAAATAGAGAAAAAGATTACAAGAAGATTATTTTCAAAAGATTAAATAGTGGTGCATTGCACCAACTGACTAAAACAACCAACAACACAAAATTGAAAAATCCTAACAGAATTATGGTCCAATACCCAATGCTTTATTGTTGTCTAGAATTTTTGAGAAAGCTGGTGTGGATATTAAAGGGGAGAAAAAGATAATTCTCCATGCCTCAAACAAGATTGAAAAATATTATTTGCATCATATGGGGATGCTAAAGAAAGAAGATAAATGGGTGTCCAAAGGTGATGTTCCTCCAATACCAGAACCGACAATGGACAAAGATGGAGTTCCATCTCATGGTGAGGAACTGCCACCACAAGTGGAGCTTGAACCAGTGCAAGAGCAAGAATTTGAACCAAAAGCATTTCCTCCATTTGAACAGATTATGATCAACAAGCTTGATGTTGTGATAGAAATGTCAAGGAAGCATGAGTCATATTATTCTGGCATTCTTGATCGATTTTATAACCTTGATCATGAGATTGCAAGGATTAAGGCTCAACTTGGAATGCAAGATGATTCGGAGTGACGGGTTTAGGAGTTCTAATTCGAGTTTTAGTTTTAAAACTTCTAGTTCAAAATTTCAATTTGGTTGTAATGATTTTAATTTCTGAATATTTGAATTTGGTTCGCCTTTTGATGGGGAGTATTGTTGTGCCGGCTTCTCCAGGCCGCCTGTTGATGTTGTGAGTATTGTTGTGTCGGCCTCTCCAGGTTGCCTGCTGATATTGTGAGTATTATTGTGTCGGCCTCTCCAGGCCACCTACTGATATTGTGAGTATTGTTGTGCCGGCCTCTCCAGGCCGCCTGCTGATATTTGTGAGTATTGTTGTGCCGGCCTCTCCAGGCCGCCTGATGATACTGTGTAAAAAGGAACCGTCAACATTAACCTTAACGCGCACAAGTTAATTTCTCGACATTAAAAAAAATTGAATTGCATGTTTAGGACTAAACACATGAGCATAAACATCATCGCATGCATATGAGGTAGGGGCATATGGAAGGGCGTTACACAAAAAAAATGGAATAAATAAAAGAATCATTCATGTCTTGCATTTTCATTGCATCCATACATCCATGCATTCTACTTGTTATAAGTCAGAAGGAGTCATCAGGACAAAGCACTCGTAAAAGCAAAATAGTCGAGCATGAGCCAAAGCGGTGTCAAACAACAACCCTAAGTATTCTATGTGCCCACTAAGCAAAGACATATCAATAGTGGAATAGAATGGAATCGACCAAATGAGCAAGCCCATAAGTAGAAAGAGGCCATCGCGCCTCGCTCCTCAACCGAATGAAGAATGATCCTAGAGAATGCCAAGACCAGGAATGACTTCCTAACCAAAGCCAGAAGTGGCTTCCAAAACAATACTCATCAATAAAGATTCAGCAAATAACATCATCATGGGATGGGATCCCTCCACCAGTGATGACAACAAAATATCAAACCGAAAAAGGCAAGCTTAGTAAATGTTGAAAAAGCTGAAGCATTTAGAAAAATAGCACAAAAAGGAAAGCTTCAAACATGAAAGAACCGAAGCTAAACAAAAAATGAAATTCAAAAAAAAAAAAAAAACTACCACAAGTAGACGTCTAGAGAGGCATCACAATACTCACCTTGACAAGAACAACACCAAACTCTTACCAATCATCCCACAATGAAGGCGCCTAGAGAGGCATCACAATACTCACATGGCAGGGGCAACACTAGAATCCTTGTCACCCATCAACTCCTCTGCCCACCAGCACAAGGGCATCACCTACCAGCACAACTTGAGTTACCCGGAACGGCCGTACTGAATTCGGAACGCCCCGTTCCGAATCCTTCATATGTACACAAATTTTTGAACTGGAACAGACCGTTCTAAATTTGGAACGGCCCGTTCCCAAAAAGCAGAACGGCCCGTTCTAAAATCAGAACGGCCCGTTCTGAGACTCATCCAGAACGACCCGTTCTCCTTCTAGAACGACCTGTTCTCCCTCCAGAACGACCCGTTCCAAAACCAGAACGTCCCGTTCTCCTTTTGGAACGGCCCGTTCTGGGCCCGTTCTCAATCTTTAAACTTAGTTTCTTTTTGGTGCTTGGAACGGCCCATTCCGCTTTCGGAACAGCTCGTTCCGAGTTACCCAAACACCCTCTATCTTTAAGAAAATTTACGAAAATGCCCTTGATAAAAAAATTGGGTATTACACTCTCAAGTTCTTTGCCTCCCATAACATCATCAAAATTTGTAGGAAGGGAACTTGAAACTGGTGTTTCACCCACATGCCTTTTAAGCTGTGACACATGAAAAATATCATGGATTTTAGACCCCATTGGAAGCTTCATCTTGTAAGCTACAACTCCAATCTTATCTTCGATCAGAAATGGCCCAAAGTACTTAGGTGCTAGTTTGGCATTAGGTCTGAATGCTACTGAAATCTGCTTGTATGGATGGAGCTTGACATACACAAAATCACCAATTTCATAGGATCTATCACTTCTCTTCTTATCTGCCAATTACTTCATTCTTTCTTGAGCCTTTTTCATGTGAAACTTTACTAACTTTAATGCCTCCTGTTGTTTCTGCAAACTTCTATCAATTACTTCCACCTTTGACTCCCCTAGTAAATAAGGAAGGTAAATTGGAGGAGGTTGGCCAAACATAACTTCATAAGGACTCCACTGTATGGAAGTATGATGGTTGGTATTGTACCACCATTATGCTAGAGGAAGCCATTGAGACCACTCATGAGGAGTATCACAACACATACATCTCAAGAATGTCTACAAACATCTATTCACAACCTCGGATTGACCATCAGTTTGGGGATGCTAAGCTGAGGAGAGTTGTAACTGAACCCTTTGAAGTGACATCAAGTCTTTCCAGAATTGACTGACAAATATAGGGTCTCCTGCCATGTGAGTATTGTGATGCCTCTCTAGGCATCTGCTTGTGGT